TATGGTACGTCTGTGGTTAAAAGAAAGATAAGAGAGAAGTTAATAGATTATGAAATAGATTGAATGTGGGGAATGGTGGTAGAAAGTTGAGTAAGACGGGGTTGAGCAGCCACCCAAAAAAAGACGACTTAACCTGTCAGCTAAATAATGATTCTAAATAAATTCACAGTTGTTCGACGGGTTTGTTAGGTTCAACGGCCATAGCAGACATACACAATCCCAGCCGAGCTGCTTCTTGCATTATCAAACATTAATGGCCTCAGATGAACGGGTTCTGACTGTTGGTTGCGTAACCTGATGTTTACATGTACAGGCTTAAATTTCATCAATTTAATCAAGGTTTATTACGGACTAACACCATTTCAGGCATCTCCTTTCTTATGGTCATTAAATCTGGTTGACTTGGGGCTGATTTTAGGCACTTTTCAAGTCACTTTTATTTGTCGTCAGTTTCGCGTACAGACGTTAGCACACATACATACATACGCATACACACTTTAATATAAGAAAATTAACTAAACCATTCTATATCCATCTATATTTAAAAGGTTTTTCTCACGTTAACTGATATCATACCGGTTCCCTTGTCACATTAAAACGGGAATTACCGGTCGTCTTGTTGTGGAATTGACCTTCAAATCTTTTCAATTTACACTTTCATACAAAATAGAAGTCTCCACAAAAATGTTATCTCATGCGAGTCAGCAAAGCCTTGATTTTATTCTTTTTCATTTATGAGCAGAGTTTCTAGACTCACAGTAGATCATATATATATATATATATATATATATATATAGGGTGTATCCGCTCACTTTCATTTAATAGCCCACCAAAAATTATTCTCATTCATGTTGAAGTGAACTGCAGTTTTGGTCTCGTCTAGGCCTTATCAACGTCCCCAACGGGACTGGAACCATGACAGTGCAGCGAGTGTATTATCTCGACACGTTAACTGATATCATACCGGTCCCCTTATCACATTGAACGAAATAGAGTGAATACGCTTTATATATATGGTCTACTGGTAGTCTAAACTACCTACTTACAAACTAAATATAAGTAATATAGTCGATTACTATAGAAAATACAACTTTGCTTCATCAACAATCCCACCACATAATGTCATGCTTGGCCTTCGTTGAGGTTTACATCTGTCCTGTGACCCAAGGGCGCTCGTAGCAACCTGACGTGGTGGTTGACGTGTCGAGACTATTTGCTGCACTACCACAAATCGAGTTTGAGTCCATCTGGGGGCACTGACGAGATCCGTTCAGACAAGGTATAAGCTACAGTCCACTAGTGTCTGAATGATAACATTTTTTGGGAAAAGCAAAGCTATATGAAATTCAATGGAAACGTAAAGTCTACTCATATGATTGTGAAAAATTTATATACTGTGGCATGTTTCTCCATTTCGAGGGGAAAGTTGGTTAGTAGGAATTCGTGATTTGGTCTCACCGGAAACTGAAGGAGGATTGTTTTGTGCAAAAAAGTCCTCGGCTCACCGACTTCGTACGATTCAACAGTCTTCCCTACGCTGCAATCCTCCTTCGGTTTCCGATGAGACCAAATCACGAATTCCTTACAACCAACTTTCCCTTCGAAATGGAGAGTCAAGTCAAAATATTTCATTAAGAAACCCTTCGAAACCCAGTTTTTATTCAAAATTCAATTACCATTTCTTCATCACTTTCAACTAAATAGGATGAATAAACTTCATTGAAACATTTCATACTGTAAAAAGCTCGCCTACAGTTTGAGCACGGCACAGCATTAGCCCATCAAGTGGCCAATACAAAGCTGTCCTCTTCGTGGGCAACCTGAATGACAGCCATCTTTCCGCCCGACCCCAAACGAGCCAACTGTATGGCTCACTCGAGAAAGGCCTGTCTGGACAAAAAGATTTAACTTTTAACTTGGAGACTGGCTTAGTCAAACTTCTCGTCTGCTATTTCGAATCCGTCCTCGATGCTGAAAATTCCCTTCTGGTGTGATGCTGCACGAACTTGTCCAATTTCGCCGCTGTCAAACAACCTCCATTTATTCATAGTCTACATTCCTGACCGAATTACACACAAAAATGAGCGAGTCTGTATCCATAACTTGTGCTCACGCCATGTTACAGGAATTAATAAAGGTAATGTTGATTTAAAAAGAAATGTATACACTTACGGTGAAGACAATGAAGTTATGCTCTTGCTTCCCTCCATAGCGCAGAATCTGATGTGATGAACAGAAAAAGCAAATGTCTGAGGAGTAATTAAGTGCAAAAGGTTTCTGACGTCTTTTGACGTTTTGTTGTATGAAGTTTCGGCTAAATGGGAAGTTGAAATCTTGATCAATTAGAAAGTCGGCAAAAGCCCTAATTCGTTGTTGACGTTAGCAATACTGAGTATTCCGAATTTGCCTCTTCTTTTGAGCTGGACTAAAGGCATAAACTTTCCCGGCGGGACTCAAACCCGGGAATCGTGAAACCAGCAACGAATTTATGCTTAAACCTCCCGGCGCTGTATGGCCCCACAACAAATTCAGGTTGAGCAAGGCTTTCATGGCTCTTAATCATACTGCTGCCCTGTCACTTTACGTGTTCCATCCGCGAACCACTCGCGTCGTGGGCTCGAGTTCCGTCAGAAGGGGTGACAAGAGAACTGGAGAGGACCCAAATTGCAATTCAGCCCAAATGAGTCCATTAGAAACTAGCCTCCTATCGGCAAAATAGTTGGTCCAGACTCTAAGCCTGCAATCTGTCAATGGTGCTGTCTCCGACTGAGTGCTTCAACTCTCCGCTTCTGACGGAACTCGTCGTGGCGCTGTCGTGCTGCCTTCTCAGTTCGAGGCTTTGGGAAACTCTCTTTTGATGTGGCTGAAAGCTGCAATAATTATGCACCAATCTCTATTCCATGAGGTTTGAGGTAGGAAGTATGGCCATGAAATGTGTCAATTCAGAGAGAATGTTTGTCTGATTCTATCGTATAAAATGAGCCCCTAATCGCCTAGAGATAAGCAAATATCATTAAAATCGGGAGCATTCCAAAGATCCACTTTTAGTCTCTGCATTGGACGAAGTAAATGGACTACATGAATCCCAAACTTGGTATTCTCACGGTTGATATGGTGCTCCTAGTCACTTTATCATCCTCCTAGATTTAAAGATGTATCCTGTCAATTGTGAAAAATATTATAGTCTTTCTGAGCGGGGGCTATGCAATCCTGCTATTATGAAAAGTTACCCTGCGTATATTCACTTATTGCCGAAAGATTGAGAAAATATGCCGATAGATGGGCTTCATCGTTTATATGAAATGTTGATAAAACACCAAGTAAGGGATCATTTGGACAAAAAATGAACTGTCTTTAGGGAACCACTTTTCTACTTTCTAATGTTACGATCAGATTATAAGCGCAATGCAGTTCACTCACATGAGAAGTATCTTTTACGAATGTATAAAGCCTGCATCAGAGCAAGCTGTGACAATAACTTATACTAGTTAATATTGAGCTAAACAACGAAAAAACACCAAAGGAAGCACATCCTGAGGTTACCCAAAACCACTATAACCTGATCTGTACTACATTAAACTATAATTTGTCATAGAAATTGGTAGTAAGACTTATAGGAAACGCACCTTGTCCTGAGTCCATTGTATGCATAATTATTTCCAAAGTCGGACCGTGGACGTGGTACATTCACAGACGCACCTTGTCCTGAGTCCATTTTATGCATAATTATTTCCAAAGTCGGACCGTGGACGCGGTACATTCCCAGACGTTTCGCCAACCTTGTCCTGAGTCCATTTTATGCATAATTATTTCCAAAGTCGGACCGTGGACGCGGTACATTTCCAAACATTTCGCCGGCATCGTCAGTGAGTCTCGCCATTTGTAGCACCATATTACAACTCGTTAAATAGACCAAACGTGTGCTACACAGTTATGGTATCTCACCTTCTGCCCTGGCCTATTCACATTTCCTATATCCT